TCCTGGCTGAATCCAGCACAATGTTTTCTATAAATAAAGGATTTCATTTTCAAGACGAAAAAAACACGCCATTGGGAATGGCATACATAATGCATACTTAAAAAATTTTGCAGTCAGCAATGTTGCTTTTCAGCTGCTTTGCAAAAACACACAGAGGCATGTGGGAGTTCCTGGTTGCTATGTTGTAGGAATATGCTATGAGTGTGACTCAAATATTAATAAAAATACCTCTTAAAATGCTAGCAAAACATACAGCATTTATTTGGAAGTGTGTTGCAGGGACCTTAATCCAGTCAGAATATACTAGGCATAGGATAGTGGTGTTTCGGACCTTCATCCTTCATTGTTAGTTTGAGGGGTTTTTTTTAGTTTAACAATGAATTATTTTCATAAATTGGACTCGCTGTAAAAACAAGAAATTTAGCCCACTTTACTATTGCACAGGTTTTGACCATGAGTCTTAAAATTTGAATTAAAACAAAGTTTTAAGAAACTTCTTTTACTGACAAAATTAATAATATTTTAGCTTTCATTTATAATGTTCCCTGGAATTTTTAGATCTGAAAACTTGCATTTTTCATCTAAAATACACAGTAGTTTTGCTATTAGACATTTACTGTTTCAGAATTAAAGTGTTTGTTTCTTGTTTGGTTGTACATATTTGTAATTACTATGTATGTCCATAAAACATTTGATTACTAGATTAGTTAATATCCAGTTCATTCTGATACTCAAAGCTATCAGTCACCCCTGGAGATAGTTTTAAGGGGTACAGCATACAAGGCATACTAGAGTGTCCAGGAAAACTTACCAGGACTGGACCAGGACCAGCACCAGGACCAGGTGCTGGCCATTGCACCTGGAGTTGTGGGTATCTGCAGCAGAACTGGTGAGACTAGATTTAGATTGCCAGTGGGAAATGTCAGGCTTGTTCTCTGGCATGGGTGTATGAAAATAACGTGGCTGCCACTCCATCAGAAGGGCATAATGATGTTCTTGTTTCACTGATGTAGAAGTGAGATTTGTATTATCCCTTCCTCACCCTCCCCCATCTTTTTTATTTTTTAAGTTCAGTTAAATTTCCAAAAGGAGGCTAAGCACTCTATTGCTTTTATACATTTAGCCAGGCATGAGGGTGCCAGTTAACCTCATACAGAATAAGTGATTTTGTATTTGCAATAGTCTTTGTCATTAAGTTTGCAATAACTTTATTGTAAGTTTGTTGAGTGCATAGAATCTGAAGGAAAGCTTGTTCCTAGGAAGTCTGACAAGAAATCAAGTCAGTGATGAAATTATTAGTGACTTAAGTTCATAAGTGGAAATGTTGTGAATGCTTACCAGGTATAGGACAATGATAATTGGCACACGCACAGAAACAAAGCCCAAGAGGAGATTTGGCTCATGAATCTTTTCTGTAGGCTTTCTGGTTTTTATCTTTATGTGAATCAGAGGAGGTTTAGTACCTATTTAGCCTTTTCATTGTTACGTGTTTAATCTCATGAACTCATTTTTAGTAGAAGAGTGGCAAATCTATAATCTTGTGACTCTTGTTGTGGACAATCCAGCATCCCATCCTATAGCTATCAGATATAAAGAGAAAGGATTAGAAAGTGTTGGCCTGACTGAGAAATTAATGGAAAATTTCTAGTGGACTTTCATGGTTTTGAATCATAAATTTGTAATGAATGTGTAAACTTATAGCCTCCTGTTAGCTGACTGCTGTTTAAAAATAAGAGCGATTTTCTTTTTACTGGAGTTGATACAGTACGTGTTGCTGTCTTCTCTGTCAAATCTTAAAATCTGCCATTGAGAACTGAAATTCGTTTATGTCTAGAAGTTACTGGGCTAAATTTAGTTTTTAAAATGCCAAGTTTTACTAATTTAGCAATATGCAACTATTGTAATGTTTGAATTATTCATTACTTTCTCCCATTTGTTCCTTTTCCTGGCATAGCTACTAAAACTAGACTACCTTTTGAGTTGCATATTTAGCACAGGTAGATGAACATGGTGCAGAGTTTAGCCTCTGTATTTAGCCTCTTAATTACGTTACTTCTGATGGACAACACTAAGATTGTCTTTAGTATTACTCACTGAGCAAATATTCTACTTAAACTAGAAATATTGCCTGTGATGTTTAATTTTCTTTTGTTATGTTGATGTGTCCTCCAGTAGCTTAAGTTGTACACCCTTACAACATGGGTCTTTGAAGAATTTTGCAAAAATCTGCTTTTTTCCCCACACGTTCTTCACAGCTCATGAAATTAATGTCAGTACTTGATTTTCGGCAATGTGTATCTGTCTTTATCCACTGTTCATATCCAGGTAAAATTCTTTCACAGATCCGTGCTGCTTCACAGTAGAGACTGAGGCATTTTGAAGACAGAAAGTAAATGACATCCCCTCATTAAGGGAGGGTTGGTGGGCACAGGGAGAATGTAATTATAAACCTTATCAGTGTGTTCTTGTCCACTAAGTAAAGAGTGTTTTCACATTTTAGCTCAATTATTCATTACGGTAGATATATCTTACCTTTTTCATATTAAACAGATGTCAAATCAGTTGACAAATATGATACTACATGTGTTACCTTTATGTCTTGAATCACTAATTATAAGTGATTTCTTTAGCAGTCCCTCTTCACGTTCCTGCTTGCACTTCTGAAATCTGTATGAGATGCTTTTCACAATCTTGTGTAGTGTGACAATGGTTATTATTTGTACCATGATATTACTAGTGACATCACAAACTGTGCTGTTTCCATTGATATTCCTCTCATATACTAGCATTATAATCACCCAGAAGAGTATTGACTTCAGGTGCTGTTACATACGTTCATATCTGAATGGTCAAAATCAGCAGCCTTCTGTTCCATCAGCGGGAGCAAAAACATCAGTAAGGAGGTATTGTGCTAGCTCATCCTTTCTTTAGGGAGCAGGTGTGTTTACTGTCTGATTTTTTTTAACTTCAGTAGCTACAAAATAATTGAATACTGTTTGAATAGTTTTATTTCATGCCTTATAATCTCTCATCCATTGCCAAGAGATGCAAATTTGCTGACTATAAAAGATCGGTTTTCCTGGCTGTAATTTCTTCATGAAAACACTATACTGTATTTATTTTATTTCTGAAATATGTCCCCCTTCTGCATATTTTGGAGCACTCTACGCTCCATGTAAGCGCAAAATACTTCAAGTTTTCAATTACTTTTCCTTCTACAGTTCATATATCTGCAGTCCATCAGGAATGGGTTTTCAGCCTCAGTCTGGTACTTTTATTCTTAGCAGATACACTTAGCAGTTTGTTAGTTAATCTTGCACCCAACTTGCCAAACTGGTTTCTTTTTAATGTGTCTTTTGATGTGTTTTGCTGGGAAACCCTAATCTGTCTTAAAAGCAGTTAACCTAGTTCTTAAGGGGTCTGTGCTCTCTAAAATGTTGAAGTGAACCGTGTAATAAAGACCACTGTCGAGTATGTGGTGTCTCAAGTCTAATGGTCCATGTAATTACTTCTGGAGATAGAACATGTAACAACATTATTTTAGGTTCCTTTTAAATAGTTGGTGTATTTCACTACCATAGGATTCTTCGTTTGAAGATAGATATGATGCCTATCAGACTTTGGCAGAATACATACAAGACTTCCTGAATCACCTCACCGAGCAACCAGCTTGTTTTGAAACTGAAATAGAGCAGTTTGCCGAAACACTGAATGGCTGGGTCACTGCAGATGAAGCTTTACAAGAACTTGTTGAACTCATCTATCAGCAGGTAGCCTGTGTGTTCTGTCTTATAATATGGACGTTATGCCGATGTTACCTAGTGTCCCAGATAGGCATGCCAGTATTACTTGTTACATAACTGTATCTGCATAGTATTTTAATGGCTTTTTTTTTTTTGCCGAAACACTGAATGGCTGGGTCACTGCAGATGAAGCTTTACAAGAACTTGTTGAACTCATCTATCAGCAGGTAGCCTGTGTGTTCTGTCTTATAATATGGACGTTATGCCGATGTTACCTAGTGTCCCAGATAGGCATGCCAGTATTACTTGTTACATAACTGTATCTGCATAGTATTTTAATGGCTTTTTTTTTTTTTATTAGAATGAAGCGTATAAAATGGTAGCTCAAGTGTGGGATGTCTGGATGGTTGATAAATTTCCCCAATTTACTCTGTTTCCTTGTGCTGTACATTTGGATCTCCTGGCACGCATACTAGAGTTGAAATTACAGCACTCAATTACAGGGTGAAATTATATTTGTATTGCTGTATTTACATAGTAGACAATGAAGAAATTCTTGGGTAGTATCAGAGTGGTACATATTTATTCTATCCTGCAAAAAAATTTCTTCATAATCACATACTTTTAATTTCCTTGGTATTTTAAAAAATTAAATATACCTACTGTACACATCACCCTTTGGGAAATGCTCCCTTATTGACAGGCTTTCTTCTTCATTTGGAATATGCCTATTTCAGAACAGCATAATTGGAGGAAAGGAAAGCTCATCTAATGGTAACTAGGTCCAGTCCCATTGATGGCCATGGAAACGAGGACACAGACCCTGAGCTGAACTCTGTGCTAATTGGGGGAGCCATTGGAAAGAACAGCTTAGTATGTGTTGCTTAGCAAATGAGGTCCTGTTACTGGCTTTGGGGCTTGCTGCAGAGAATGAAGTCATGCTTGTGCTTGCTATTTATTACATTGGCGTCTCTCGCTCTCCTGGCTTGGTTGCTTTCAAATTCTGCCTTGAAGAATGCAAGCTCTTATTCACCTTTTGAGTGTAGATGCTTGCAGAATATTTTGATCTGGGGTATGCGGAAGCTGCATGACTGGTTGCTCATTGTTCAGAACTGTAGTCTCAAGTTTCTTATTGCTATACAGAACTGATGCACATTTAATTAAGAACATTTTGAGGTTAACATTACCTGTGCTGTGTTAGGCAGCATCATTTTCCCACCCTTTTTTTGAATACATGGGGGGTGGTTAAAAAGAGATTAACATATTCCATATAATTTTATTGGATGAGAAAAAGAGTTTATCCCATTTTTAACTTCATATGGTATGAATATTTTGACTCTCATTTAATGTAAGTCTTTAATCTTGTGTCTTTCCCTCTGTTTAAAAACAAGTCCAGTGATACAGTTGGCTGTGCCTTCCTCAACTGAGACACATAGAGTGTTATCAGTCAGAAATTACGTGAAAAATAGAACAGCAGAAAAAAGCTGTGCTAGTATATAAAAACATCCGATTTTAGTTTTGTTGTATGTCAGGGTAGGATCGTGTTCGAGTGTTAGTCAACTATGCTTATTATTTTTCTATCTTGAACAGAGGCTCAAGTATTTGTGCTTCCAGGCTTATCACAAACCAATTAAAATTGCTGAAGTGTATTTATAAGCATCTGCTTCAGTGATGTTTATTTAACCCAAATGAACAGATTTAGAGATGCTAGGTTTGTGAAGGAAAAATACTTAAATTAAGGAAACCCTAGTCCTGTACAGTCTTCCTTTCATCTGTGTGTCAGGTATCTTAACCTGTCTTTAGAGACAGGATTAATTATATACTTGTCCTGTTCTTCTTAATCCATTTATGTCCCTGGACAGAATGAAGTGCCATTTCTCTTGTGTTCCAAAAACTGAACACTCAAACTTCATAACTTAAACTTGACTGTTTCATAATTAATACAGTGGATTGTTGCTGTTGTGGCAACTAAAATTTCTCAAGATATGTATTGGTAGATTAGCTTTCATGTTTACATTGTGACTTTTTTGAGTCGGAGATAAACTGGGATTACCAGCAACAATAATTCAGGGAAGATGACGCTGCACTGTTATGACTGGTTATTAAGAAGGGCCTATGGTGATTTTTTTTTTTTTGGTGTTTTTTTGCTATGCCAGATCATAACACCTAAAAGTTAATTGTTTCAGTATTTGATACAACCACAATAGCATTCCAAATAAGTATGAAGATAATGTTTAAAAATACAGATGAGGTGTGAAGAATTTTTTGGGTGTGTGGTTTTGTGTTCGTTTTTTTTTCTCCTTGGGAAAGAGAAGTATAATTTAAATTATGTATTTTGCCTTATAATAAAAGTAGTCCAAGCTACTGATTGAATCAAAGCACCAAAAAGCTTATTAGCTATTTCACATGCCTCTTCCTGGAAAATAAATTCACTTTGTCTGTCTTAATTACTTAAACTTGGTTGTGTTTTCCAAATACACTTCATTTTTTTCCCAGCAATTTCATGCTCACAGTACCATTACACTGAGTGCATCTTTTTCTCTGCCTGTAGAAGGTAACTGGCTATAATGCTAGTGGCTATTGGCAAGATGCTTTTTTCAGGCATGTTAGAAGCAGAAGCATGCAAACACATCTGTAGCACTGATAAATGATCAAGACATAAAAGCAACATTCAGAGGTGATAAAGCCATAGGATAACTTCAGTGAATTTTTAGTATTCCTGTTTTCTTTTTGGCAGAGCTGATGGAGTTACTCACACCTGAACCTCTTTTTACTGAAGCTGTATCTGAGAAATAAATTCAAGTGTTGCTAGAAGAGAGTTTAAAACAAGTGAACAGTAATAAACTGCAAAAATAAGGGGATGATCTGCATTAAGTTCTGTGAGAGGTAGAATGCAGACACTATTGAATTCCCAATTACATCATTCCACTTCTTGAATTTCAAAGTATCAGATTTAAAGCAAAGTCTTTTTCAGACAGTGTGTAACTTACATTGTAGAATTTCATGGCCACCATCTGTCTTTAAATAACGGAAGTGTAACTGTTCAACAGTAAGAGGACTTGTTTTAGAAAAAAAGGAGCCATAAAGAGCTATTAAATGTAATGATAAGGTTTTAACCTCTGAATTAAGAGTTTGCTACCTTACAGATGCTGGAGCATGTCCCGGAGAAAACGTTTATCTTTACTTGCTGTGTTCTTGAACTCTTTCC